CATGGAGCTATGGATGGACAGAAATTGTCTCTGTAAAAAGTTCTATGCTCAGGATGACAGGGAAAAAATAACAGCCATTCCCCCAAGGCACCAACATCCCACACCAGTGAGTAACTCAGACTCTACTCAGGATACTGTGACCCTAACTGTTCTTTGCTCTCCCTCATCTCACAAAGACAACCACACCAGCAGTTCCAAACCCAAGGGAAAGGTATATTCTGCCCAAACGATGAGATAATTGAATTAGTGAGTTATCACATAAGTGATTCAGAAGGAGTGAGCTTATTCTTCACCAAAGCTCACAGAATGTGACCCCTGCATTCCTATGAAGCCCATTCACTACTTTCTATCAGGATTCCTGCTCATTCAATGCTATCTCTGGGATGACTTGTGTTTTGCAGTTGTGCTGGATTTAAATCCAAACTTGGCTGTTTACTAGCCACACTGTTTTGAGCAGATATTTCTACTTTCTAACTTTTACTTCTTTTATGAGGGTGGTGAATGGGAGCTTGAGTTCTTTATATGAAACAAATTTTTGAAAGTAAATAAAGTACTGTACTAAAATTATAAGCACTTAACAAATACTGAGTTAAAAGTACATTTACTGAAAGAAGAAACTAACAAATAGAACAAGAATAAGAATTTCATGGTCAAAACATCACTTAACAGGTATGTGTGTATGAATGTCCAGAGTTGTGGTAAAGGAGGCTGGCAGAGAAGAGTAACAGAGGGTCTGTAATTAAAAACCCAAGAGACAGGAAGCGACTTCTCACATACAGAAATATCACCTGTCTACCTTAGAACTCAGGTATGTAGAGCCTTCAGCGTATCTAGAAAGCCTGGAAGTTGTAGCTGGTATTCTCTGAGAATGTGTATGTTTGAGATTGTTCATAGATTTGTGTGTGCCCCTATCCCCTTGCCCCAACCCACACTATAATCATACTAATCAAGAGGGATGCAAACAGCATGGCGGAAAACTTGCTAAGAGAGCCGAGGCAAGCTGGAAACTCAAGAAAATCAGAGTTGGGGAACCTTTCCAAGAGTTTCTATCAACACTTACCTCACTGAAGGAGAAGTACAGAGAAAAGTCTTGCCCTCACTAATATCATAACACAATGATCAGAGCGAGTATCTGTTCCTCATACAGTAAAGTAATTCCCCGTATCTGAATCTTAATACTGTGTGGGTTAATAGTGAGTGCCTACGTCCAGTGGTCTCTGCATTATCTTCAATCTGATGTCCCATGGAAACACCAGCAGCTTCTCAGGCCACCCGATTCCCAGGCCACAAGGTATAAGATGAGTTGGAGGAAGTGCCCAATCCCCCAGCCCAGGGGAGACAGAGTGAGAGACACTGCCTCAAAAAGACAGATAGAAAGATAGATGGATGGATGGATGGATGGATGGATGGATGGATGGATGGATGGAGAGTGGCAGAGGAAAGAAGACACCCAACACTGATCTCTGGCTTCCACAGGCACATGCATGTGCACAAATGTGCATAACTACAACAGAGAGAGAGAGGGGGGAGAGGGAGGGAGGGAGGGAGGGAGGGAGGGAGGGAGGGAGGGAGGGAGGGAGGGAGGGAGAGGGAGAGGGAGAGGGAGAGGGAGAGGGAGAGGGAGAGGGAGAGGGAGAGGGAGAGGTAAAGGGTTAGAAATAAAAAGATGTTGGTCCAGCATTGGCACTAACAACCTAGAACAATTAGAATCTTTCCATGATCCCAAGATTTCCCAACTCTTAAATTAGAAATGTTGGGGAGATTGATTCGTAAAAACCCCTCTGGCTTTGACATTCTGACTTGTCCTAATAAGCCTGATGATGATTCACACTGAACAACTCAGACAACAGAAGAGGAACTAACCTTTATTAAATGGTGTAAGTGGTGGGTGAGTTTACCAAATCCTCAAAAATGAGAATGCAGAACAATGGCATCCATAGAGCAGCAGTTCTCAACCTGTGGGTCACGCACCCTCTAGGAAACTTCTATCTCCAAAAATATTTACATTACAGTTCATAACAGTAGCAAAATGACAGCTATGATGTAGCAACTAAATAACTGTATGGTTGGGAATCCCAACAGCATGAGGAACTATATTAAAGGGTTACAGCATTAGGAAGATTGACAGCCACTGGCATAGACAGCTGACTCCCTTCCTTTCTAACTTGAAACTGCATGTTGCTAGAGCTTGGGACAGCCAGGTGTCCAAAACCCAATTATAGAACACACATACTCTAAAATTCCCATCAGTAACTGTTCTCCGTTAGATCAAAGAATCAAGGATTAGGCACAATACCAATTTTCCACACAAGACTCTGTAATGAAGTCACGGGGTTTTGGAAACATGGCAGAAAGGGAGAAGAATGACATTCTAGTTACTAGAATATTGAACAGATGAAAAACTGTGATCAACTGGTCCACCTTTGTCTATTAGCAGATGCTAGGCTGGACTTAGAGGAAGGAGGCCCCACCAGCTGACACCAAGACTAGGGACAGTTATATTCTCATTGCTTCTAACCCATATGACACACAGAGCACACTGCTCCACTCCCCAAAGCAATGAGAGTCTATACAGGGAGTAAAAGAAGAAACTCACACATGATTACTGCTTCTGCCTCCATTAAAAAAAGAAAAAAGCAGCCACTGATTAAGATTATTCAATGCACACCAAGACAATTTCCCAAAACTGAAAAGTCATATGGGCAATACAAATAAGTCCATGAGAATTAATTTGGTATTAGTCTCCCAATGAGTCACCATGTAGAAAATGGAGACAGCCAATGGTCTGCAGGAGGCCAGAAGTCAGTTCTTGCTCTGATAGAGACCAGCGATTTGGAAATGATACCTCATGTTCTTTAAGAGTAAACAAGGTGTATAATTTCAAATCCCATGCAGTACGGCTTTAAATAGATTTGGTTTGGAAACGGGACAAGGAACACACCACAGTTGGCGGATCAACATTAAAAGCAGAGGAAAAGCAATGATTACACTCATTGATATCTGCTGACATGCATACTCTCAAGTCTAATTATGGATTTAAACTGCTCTTCTTTATTATTCCCACTAATGCCCATTTTTACCACAAGACAGTTTTATATGTGTACATCATGCTCCCAGAGTATTTAGTTCTCCATCTTGCAAAGGTTGAGATAATGTTCTTAGTCCCTATGAGCCTATAAACCCAAAAGATAGGGATTACATTGCTGGATAGATAGATGACTGACAAACAGAAATGGATGGTTGACAAACACATGCATAGGTAAGTAGGTAGATAGACAGACACGGATGGATGGATGGATGGATGGATGGATGGATGGATGGATGGATGGATGGATGGATGGAGAAAAATAGGTAGATCGATGGGTGGGTAGGCATAGGTAGTAGGTAGGTAGAAGAAAATCCCCATTTTAAACAGCGATTTTTGCAACTTTTCAAGGTTTAATTAAAATATCTCCTTTAGTGTTGAAACAGATTTCAGTGGGGAGAGTGAATTCAGCTAACTAAATAACCTTCAAAGCTTATCCTTTCTACATCGGTTAGTAGAAACTAAGCTATAAACAAGTGATAAACGCAGTCCATAAACAAACAGCTCTCTCAAGTACATCTCTGAAGTAGAAAATTTAAGTAGACTCACTTTTTAAAGCCCCTTTGGTTTGGGCATTCTGATCTGTCCCAATGGGACTAATGATTCACCTGGAGTAAGGGGATAGATGAGAATCTCCTTCTTCTTTATGGTGTTGACAGTGAGGGAGTTGGCCAGATCCCCTGAAAGTTAGACCCATAGTGACATCGGAGAGCAGAGGAAAGTTGACTTTCTTCCTTTCTAACTTGAAAGTACATGTCATGGGGACTATCAAAAACTCTAACAAGAGACGCCTTCAGGAATCTCTCTTTTGATCTATTTATCCGTGAAAATGATATGGTAGAAACAAGTTTCTGTTTGAACATTCTATATAATATAGTAAAACTAAAAGAAAAAATTTCTTGCATATTTTTGTATACCCAATCCTTGATAACATCTTCTTTTGTAAGAGTAAGAAAAAAATCCAACTATATTCACAACTGAGTAAACTATAGAAGTTTTTCAATTCATTATCACCCACCTGTTTCATATTTAGCATATCTGATAAATATTAACATTGAAATTACTATTAGCCTAAAACCATAATTTCCACTTGACTCTAAATTGGTAATCCCTGTGATTATGGGCAGTACTAATAAATTTTAGGACAAATGATTGATAGCAATCTAAATGATGACTCCAAATCATAGATAGCTTTATTCTCCAAGGCCTCAGGTTAGGAACATCATTTTGACGACTTCATCTCCTGACAAAAATGCTGAAAAAAAATCATATTGAACACAAAAGCATCACTGGGAGGTACAAATACCAGTTGGCTGGCTCTAAGAGAAAATAGAAAAGTTGAACTAAAGATGTTCCCTTTCTCTTCTAACAACCTCCCATTTTCTTGGTAACCCCATGCTGAGGTTTTCCCCAATGATCCCTTTGTCCTGTGCAATGGTCCACGAACAGAGGTGCATGCAAAAGACTAACTCACTCTCTCTGTTCTTGCTTCATTACAACCTTGCCGTGGTTGGTACAGGGCTAGATGGTTATAAGCATTTTTAGTTCATTCAGGGACAAACAATTCTGGCTATGTAGAATCGTAAAAATTCAACTCAAAGAAGGAAGGAGACAAGGTGGAAAGCCTGCCTGCCATACACTAGCCAATGAATGGCATGATAAAACAGTGGAAAAGATTTCCTACTGTATAGCACCACTATAGATTCCCGTATGTTCATTAAATGTCACTTTTCAACATTGTCCAGATGTTTCCCTTTTAAGGAGAGAATAAACCAAGAAGGCATAAAAGGAGGGCAAATAACTGTCTTGGATATTTTTCATGATTCTCCTGAACATAAAGTACTTTTGCATGACTTCCATAGGTTCAGGTGCCTATTAATGTTATATAAATGTGAAGACCTTAATCCTCTCTTACCTCAAGCGAGCTTCTGGATTTTAGAATGAACAATGGACTCAGGCTCAGCCAGATGATGTGTTAGTCTCTGCAAATTAAACAGGCAGAAGTTACTTGTGGGTACTGGACACCAAGACTACTATAATCCATCATTTAAAAACAACCTTATATCTATGTAGAAGTTTATTTTGCAAAACATTTTCACATTCATGATCTCATTTCACCCCATATGAACCTGATGAAGAAGCAGGATGAGATTATTCTACGCATATGTGAGGGAGGTAGAATTTCATAGAGGGACAGAGAATGACAAGAGAACTGGGAATTCATGTGAAAATTTTCACAAATATAACATGATAAGTGCTCATTAGTCCAGAAATGATGACTTGCCCAAGAACATTACAGTACAATACGTAGCAGAACGTGAATTCCGAAGCAGGAGCTTTGCCACTAGCCTAGTCATCTACATTTCCTGCCTCCCCTTCTCCTAGGCCATGAGGAGATGGAACACAAACAACTCACTCACCTGATCCTTAAGTCTTGATAGAGGAAGACACTAAAGTCAAACCAGAAGTCTCACTGCCCTGAGAACAGGGACAGCACGTGGCATTTAGAGCCAGTCAACTGTCCGCCTCGTGCAAGTTACTCAAGGTCCCTATCAACTTCCTCATGCGAGAATGAAGATTATCTATATTACCTAGTCAAAACTGTCCTCAGCTAAACCTTTGGTACAACAGGGAGATTTTCCTGTATATCCAAGGTGCTCATATACAAAATGCTAATATTTCTTTTCATTGGACACACACACACACTCCTAGAGCATATTCCAAGATGGCTATTTCTGAGACTTGTAGTCATAGTTCTAAAATATCATGAAATTATCTGTGTCATTCTTAAGTGGCCTCAACACACACACAGGAATGCATATAAGCAAGCCTGCACACACTTAAGTGTCTTCTCAAACCCCAAAACCTAAAGCAAGAGCTTTGGGTGGCAAGGCTGCTCCCGGTTTGCAGCCTTTATCCAAGTCTGTGCCTACAGCACTGCCTGAGGCTCAAAGAAACGGAGCTGCTGGCAGAACCGCTGGAACAGAAACTCACTTGAAATTTTACATAGAAGGATTGCAAACAGGTTCACTAACATGTCCCGTTTCCATAAAGCATTCAAATTGTAACTGGGAAACGTGGCTGGTAAGATGCCTTGTCAGAAACTCATCTCTTAACCCCGAAATCAAAACCTTTAACATCACACTTTATGTTGTAGTCTAGAAAATAGGGCATGCTCATTACAGTCTAAACCATGCTCATTATATGCTCAATGAGTTTTTCCCGCCCCAAGTTTACAAATCTAGCAACCAAACTTCAAAGGTCACAAAACTAACACAGAGCCATTGAAAATTTATCCTTGAACCCTCATACCAAGCATCTGCCTCTTAGATGAGGTGAGAAGCCTCCTGATTAGAGAGAGTGACCTAATTTCGGGAATTTGAAAACAAGAATGTTAAAACAGAAATTGCGATTAAGCAAAGAACACAAAATTCAGAAAAAAATACAAGTATCTCCTGTTTTCTCACATATGCAAAATGAAAAACAGATTTTTAGAAAGACTTGGAAGGAGGGAGGGAGGGGGCAGAAAGGAGGGAGGCAAGCAGGGAGGGAGGGAGGGAGGGAGAGAGGGAGAGGGGGAGAGAGTAGAGGGGAGAAGAGAGGGAGGGAGTTAAAAATAAACAATGAAATGCAATGAAAGTAATGAAATTTAATGAAAGTCACAGAGATCCCACTTGAGATAGGGGACACTGATAGAGCAAAGGGGTCCAGAAGTGGATGACATGTGAGTCAACAGGACTAAAGTACATTGTACATACGGTTCATGATGAAAACCAATCTTGTATACAAATAATGCATACTAATTGAAAACGTAACCCAAAAGTGCACTTTAGTTTAGGATTATGCCTCGCCACCACATAAAAGGAGAGAAACAACCTCACATCTGTGGTCTCATCAGAGGGCAACACGTAACTAAGTGAAGCACAGTGCTCGGCTCTAGGTTAGCACGAACACGTTCTCAGGCCACCCCAGTGAAGTATAACAGATGCATGGTCCTCCACCAACATGTTAAAACACAAGCCACTAAACAAGAGGCCGCAACGGTGGCTTTCATAAAGACTTTCAGCAAAAGCTCTCGTCACAAGGCGTGGAAAAGCTGAAGCCTTCAAGTCCTGCAGTTAACCAGCCTGTGTGTGTGGTTTGAGAGGTAAGTGTCCTCTGCAGATCTCAGGTGTTTCAGAAGGCAATGAAAGTCTTCAGACCCTATCAGGGGACAGGACGACTGGCAAATCCCATGACAACGTTTGGCAATGAAGCCAGATATCCTTGGTTACTTATGTGGATTTTAGGTCTGGTGACCCAGAACCCAAAATGGATAAAGCATTTCTCAAACTATCTTTCTTCACCCAAGAAGAATGTTCTCACCTCCAAGCAATTTTAGCCAAAAATAATATATATATATATGTGTGTGTGTGTGTGTGTGTGTGTGTGTGTGTGTGTGTGTGTGTGTGTATGTATATTCAAGCTCATTGCAAATTCTCAATCTATTAATTGGAATTTATGTAAAGCTAGGCTTAGAAATTAACTGAAACTAAAACATCATTATTAAAATTTTCTGTTTTATTCAAGATAAAACAAAACAGAAACATAAAATCTGTGTTAGAGAACAGTAGAGAAAGACAAGTAAAAAGACAGACAATAAGGATGGACAGACAGATGAACAGAGAGAGAGAAGAGACAGACAGACAGGGAGACAGACAGGGAGACCAAAACAAGACCATGGTACACAACAAAGATTATTTCAATGAGCTTTACACAAACCATGGTTCAAATCTCTCACTTCAAGCAAGATGATGCAAAAAAAAAATTATTAACAAAACGTCTAAGTAGCAAAGTCTAATGTAACAAATGAGCAATAAGAGAGAGCTTTGCAGCGGGAAACAATTCTGCTGACATCAAGTTAGCCCATTATCCCAGACACCTCTGAATAGGGAAGGTTGCCAAGCAAGGGAGCCTAAGAGTAGAGAACTGAGGATGTGACCCCTGTGGAGTTCCCCAGTCTAACAGCCAGGGCTTGCATGGAAAGATAACGCTTTTCAGTTTCCCTTTTCAGAGCTGTAGACTATGGCTACCTAAAAACCATTTAGAGAATACCAAAAGTCATTTCGTCTACACTTTTTGTACGTTCATAAATTTCAAATGGCAGAAGGATTACTTATAGTAAGAGTTATATAAAGTAAATGATGTTATGATGTCAAATGTGGAATTCAGGCTTCAGAAGCAACTGAAATGTTAGATTAGGACAAAGGCATTGGATGATTATGAGTGACCCGCAACCCTGACCATCAAAACCCAATTGATTTTAAACTACACAATCTCACCCACCAGTCTAAGATACTTATCAAGAATACAACATGTTCCACAGCTTATAAATGATCTGGTTGTCTCATTAAGGTAATGTTTGTCAGTATTTAATTGCTTCCCTCCCTGATTTTAATTTCCTCACCTGTCAGCATCGATCAGAAACAGTGAAATCATCTGACATACTGGCTGATTATGTTCAAATTAATCAAGTTTTTTTTAAGCAAAAATTGCTTTGGCCTGCAGGTAATGCACAACTTCATAACGTGATATGTAGAAGAGGCCTACAATGGTACATAAATGGAAGACTTTAGAAATCCTAAGGAGAAATGTAAGTTATTTTTACACCTACAGAACTAGATAGTAAAAGGCCAAGATTGTCTTTAAAGGAAATTTAATCAGCTAGTTGTCTCCGAACAACAGGGGATGGTGCCTGCCAACATGCAGGAAAAGGAGTACTTATCACAGAATATTTGAGAGATAGGTTAGGAGGGAAGAAATAAAGATGAGCTTGTCTTATAACATAACCTAACAATGTATATAACGTACCAGAAAATATAATATGTAATAATCATTAATCTGTCTACTAGGGAAGTTGCATTTAATATTGACAACTCTTAACAGCTAGATATAAGTATTTGGGGGGGCTGATATTGGTGTTATTAGTAATTGTAGCATTCTTCGCATAAGAGGCAAAGATGAGGCTAAGAACAATAAAGGAACTCTTATCTTTTAATGTGTTTAGATGTTTTTCCTATACATATGCCTGGGTACCATGTGTGTAACTGGTGTCTGGAAAAGCATATCAGATACACTGGGGAACCAGAGTTACAGACAGCTGTGAGCTGCCATGTGGGTTCAGGAAATCTTACCCAGGTCCTCTGGACAAGCAGCAAGTGCTAAGCCATCTCTCCAGATCCAGCAAAACAATTAGACACCTATTAACAGACAAGTCTGGCCTCATGATCTATGTGATTGAGCAATGTGCCACAATTACTCAGAAGAGAGGAAGAAAAGCAGTGTAGGTCCTCCATACATAGTTATTCAGTGCTAATATCTACCAGAAACAGTGTTTAAAACACACTTAGGAAACATCAAACACTAAACTCTTTTAGAGGAAATAAATAAAATGACAGGAAAATACTCCGTAAGGTGTCCTGGCATGGGACTGTGTTGATTCCCAAATGGTATTCCCACCTAGAAATAGACACGTGCATGCATGTAATAATAACTGGGTCCCAAAGTGAGCCCATAGTAGTTGTAAGCCTGCATGTGAGTCACTCTGCACCCATTTGAAGGGTCCAGAATTGAACAGAAGAATGGAAGCCATTGAGTGTGTGCAATAGGGGGTGGGAAAGGGGGCGGGGGAATAAACATAAAGGTTAGAGCTTATAAAGAAAACAGCTAACAGCTTTAGAACCTCAAGAGGTTGAGTATGAGCCATTGAGAAATTTCATGACTAGGAAAACTATTTCTGCAGAAAAAATTAAACTCCAGGTGAAAAGTACAAAAGGAAATAAGTCTAGTGAAGTTGGAAGTTTGCACAAGTTTTTCACAGCTGTGTTAGTAAAATCCAGTACACTGGGGAAGGAGGAGACATAAAAGAAGAACTGTTGAAACAATAAATTCTAAAAACCAAGTTTAAGTGTGTAAGTTCTATCTCTGGTAAATAAATATATTG